AGAGAGAGAGAGAGAGAGAGAGAGAGAGAGAGAGAGAGAGAGATCTAGCTTTCTGGTTTCCCTTGAGAATCTGAATCTTCACTGAATGGCACCGATCACTATACCTATGTAGCAGCTGATGCCTGTGATGAGGGCCATGGTGACGTATTCAGCTGTGTTCTGCTCTTGCCTACAATCCCCATCACCAGCTGTTGCTTTACCCTTGGCCCAGATGTGGCCATACAGATCACCCACCTCTTGCTCTCAGATACTTAACTTTGCAGGCCCTGCAAAACAGGGGCTTTGAATGACAGAGCAAGGTCATCTGATGAGGTATGTAATGTCTAATAGGAATGCCATGATGCTCATTTTTTTAAGGTGGCTATAAGTAGTTTCTCCTCTGAGTCTCCCAGGGCTGCTCGTATGCTTCATGATGTTTAGTACAGCATCGAGATTAAACATACTCACTTTAAAGCCAGGCCTGTCCGGGCACCTATCTCATCACCGGCTGACGTGTCTTTAGGACAGCAACCACAGCTTACAATGTTCTCTAGGGCCTATAATTATACCCTTACCGCTGTCTGCGTTCCATAAGTCTGTGTCTATTTTGTCTCCTGTTATGGACTGTACATTTCTCAAATGTAAAAGAGCCACCTGTGGTCAGGCTTGGGGGTGCACACCTTTAATCCTAGCACTCAGGAGGCAAAGGCAGGTAGATCTCTGTGAATTCCAAGCCAGCCAAAGGTACATCATGAGATCCTGTCTCAGAACAAACAAAGCCTATGTCCCTTGATTTTTCCCTATAGTGCCACTCAGAGGGACTCAATGAATATTTAGTGCTTGTATAAAATAATTACTCAATCATAAAAGAGAATGCAGCTGGGCGGTGGTGGCACACGCCTTTAATCTCAGCACTCGGGAAGCAGAGGCAGACGGATCGCTGTGAGTTCAAGGCCAGCCTGGTCTACAGAGCGAGATCCAGGTGCAGGCCCAAAGCTACACAGAGAAACCCTGTCTTGAAAAACCAAAAAAAAATAAAAGAGAATGCAAACATATAAACACGGTGGCCCCAAAGTGCTGTGGGACTCCAAAGGAGAAAGACATAGCACCTCTGTATGTTTGACAACCTGCCTGGTCGAGTGTTCTACAGGCTGTGGAAAATAGGGCTACTGTTTTCCTCTCCAGCCTCATGTCTGGCCCTTCCCTTTACTTTTCATCTCCATTGGCTGATGCATTATTGGATCCCGAATGGGGTCAAGTTCATGGCTGTTTCACAGCCTTTGCACTTGTTCCTCCTCATGACTCCTAGAATTGGGCCCTTTTAAAATATTTTAAGTTCCTGAGAATTTCATACAATGTATTTTGATCATATTCACACACCCCCAACTTCTCACCTTAACTTCTCCAGGAACTGTCCTACCTCCTTACCCCCTCAATGCTATGTCCTCTTTTGTTATATAATAACCCATCAACTCCAATTTATGGTGTCCATATTCTGGGCATAAGGCTATCTACTGATGTATGGACTCATTGAGTCTCAGTTTGCATGTTACCTGACAAGAAGATCTTACTATTCAACAAAAAGCCACAACCCCAACAGACTCTATAGTTTAGCCTTTTTATTATCTACATAGTACTCCTTGAAATGATGTATTCATTTACATCGCTTACCTGACTAAAATGTCTCACCTGCCACCAGCATATAATCTGTGGCATCCTGAGACCTTTTTTGTTATTCATCTCCAGAGCCCTGAGCACAGTAGGGACTCAGCAGATGTTTGGTGGTCGTGAAACATACGAATTAAGCTGTAATCAATTTATGCATTCAAAACTTCACTATGGAGAATTCTGCACCCAATGAAGTCCAAGCAGACATATAGGAAGCCCAGCACATGAGGAAGAAGAGGGGACTCCATTTGCTTATCCACTCAAGGTTACTAATAATCCTCTTCTTGTTTTATAGGTTGTAAATGAAGAGGACTTCCAGAGGTGGGCCAGTTTCCGGCGTGAAGCTGAGGCATCCCTTGACAACAGAGAAGAGCTTCTGATGGAGACAGCCCAGCACCTGGAGAATCATCTCACCTTACTCGGTAGCTGCAAATAAGGCATCACCACATTAAAAAGACAGAAAGGGGAATGCTACACATTAGGAAACCAGCTCTTAGCCAGGATTCTGGTGCCACTACAATTTTGTCTCAATTAGGAGCCTTCCCTGGGTGTTTCCAGATATTTGGCATAATTGGGCCATGCCAGCAACCAGCCCGGCTTCCTGGGGATGTTCTGAGAGCATTCCCAGACTCCCTGATGGAAGAAACCTATGAATTTGGCTTCTTCCTCAACCACAAACTCCTTTGCCCATTCAAATGTTTGTTGTCTGCCTACTATGTGCCCCAAGTAGCATGCTAGACTTTGCAGCTACACCGAGAAATGCAAACCACAGCCTCTACCTTCCCACTTCTAAATCGCTCAGAGTCTAGCCATCTAGATGGGATGGTTAGACAAGTCATTTCATCACTCAGCAAGTGGTAAGATCTGAGCCAAAAGACGTAGAGGTGGGAGACAAATGCAAAATAGGAGGTTTCAACCTCATACTGGGACCAAAGAGGCTCTTGGAAGGCCACTAATTGAAAACAAAATGATAAGCTGTTCAGAAAATGGGGAGAGGGAGCGTTCATGACCGAACAAAGGGACTAAATGAAAGGCGGGAAGTGAGGTCTGAGGAGAGGTGGAAATGCAGAGATCTGCTTTAGCTGGACCACAGAGGAGAATTGACAGGAGGTGAAGAGGCCAGCAGAACCCAATTTATGATGTGCCATGTAAATCATATGCTAAACATTTACAGGGTACTTTAGTAAAACCACCAGGACCACTGCTATAGAAAGGGTAGACTGAGAAGCCAGGGGCAAGATGAGAAGTACTGAGGCTGCTTAAGAGACGGGGTGGATGTCTGTTGGAAGAAGAGCATTGCAAGCTGAAAAGTGAAAGCTTTGCTTAGGAAGATGAATCTCCTCCTGCCCGGGGAAAGATGCCCATGACTTTAATCACTCTGAGGCCATCAGGCTGGAAGAGCAGCATCAGGAAGGAGTTTGGGTATAGGGGCTCTTTCCCAGCCCCCTTCTAGAAAGACACACATGAAGCCAGGCGGTGGTGGCACACACCTTTAATCCCAGCACTTGGGAGGCAGAGGCAGGTGGATCTCTGTGAGATCAAGGCCAGCCTGGGCTACCAAATGAGTTCCAGGAAAGGCGCAAAGCTACATAGAAAAACCTTGTCTCAAAAAAAAAAAAAAAAAAGACACACATGAAGGAATCAGGGGTGTGCACTGGCCATTGAGCCGAAAGCCATCTTTCATTGCTATAAGATGCTGAGGGCTTCACACCTAAAGGGTAGCAGCAAGCTTAGTTGACGAGCCTTCAAACAGAAGAAATTATTTCTCTCTAGCACCTTCAGCTCCTTGTCCTTTGCCTGGGCTGCAGAGGCCTGTGCATGTTGCCTCATGAGCCCTGACACCTCTATAGCTGGACACAGGAATTGTTTTCACAAGAACCAGAAGGTAGCTAGTCTGGAATATTCTACCTGCCATATAAGGCCGCAGGCAGTCACCCCCATCTGGGGTTCCCACCACTCTTTCACATCCTGGACATGTCTTTAGCTTCAGGGTAGCAACAAGTCTCAGCTGCAGGAGATGTCCAGCAGCTGGCTCTGGTGAGGAGCTCACTTGTTGGAGCCAGTCATCTTCCCTGTCTGGGAGAGGCATCCACAGTCTTCCTGTTTCACTTTCCCTTTCACACAGATTAATGTGTTTCCTCCCCCCTCCTTTACACAGCCTTGCTGTACTATAAATCGACTTCCGAAGTTCACCTTGCAGGCTGAACCTCACAGAGAAAGATGATATTTAAGCCGTCACTATCCATAGAGTTGTTTACCTGTGTATTTGTACCCAAAATACAAAACAGGCACATTTGAAGAGAGACGGGTCCCTTTTGTCACCCCAAGGTGGCTGGGAAATGTGACTTGATGGCAGATTTCCTGTGACCACCAAAAATATTGTATGGCCTTCACACTAAATCTCAAAATATGAGTTGATTTTTCAATAGGCAGCCAATGTCACTGCTTTGCCAACGTTTTAACCACTCCTGATTGTTGAAAGAAACAAAGCCTTTGCTTTGACTCTGAGTGAAATGGTTAGCCACTAGTCTATAGCCTGAAATGAATCTCGTTTTAAGTGTAGGCTGAGTTTTTGCTTAAGCACTTAGCAACTATTTAATATCTGGGGATGGATTCCTCGGGGTTGAGGCAAAGCTTGAGATCATCCACAAATGACGGCATCTGTGTGTCTAATTCTCTCCGAGAAGAGTAGCAAAAAATTGAAGCCCTATTAAATCTGCCGTCATCAGCTGCAGAATGAAGGTTCCTATTTCATCTCTTCCACACCCATTGCCCTGTGTCACTACAGGCCACCACCAGGTCTCCTCTGCACTCCTGCTCAGCCCCTAAGAACCTCTCATCCAGCTTCTTCCATCTCCCATCCACTCTCTAGAATGATCTGAAAATATAAACCTGATCCGGTCCCCCTCAGCTCACACCCTTTAATGGCTTTCTTTGCTGCAAGATAAATTGCCTATCTATCAAGGCTCTGATATGGCCCGGAAGCCCTTCTCCCTCCCTCTCACATTCTCTTCTGTCTCCTGTCTAGCTGTCTAAACTCTAGACTGTCAAACATGCAGATCCCATTACCTTCACCTCTGTGACTGATCTTCCAGGTCTGAACCAACATGGTCTTTCACCAGGAAATTGTCCTTGACTTTCAAGGTGAAGCTCAGCATCCACTCACATAGCACTCTGACCTTGCCACATAGCTCAGCTACAAACCTTCATCCAATGACTTGAGTTCTGGGCAGGTACCAATTGTCCTAGTTAGTGTTGCTATTGCTGTGGTAATACCATGACCAAAAGCAAATTGGGAAAGAATAGGTTTATCTGGCTTATGTTTCTACTTTACTGTTCAACACTGAAGGAAGTCAGGACAGGAACTCAAACAGGGCAGGACCCTGGAGGCAGAAGCTGATGCAAAGACCATGGAGGGGTGCTGTTTAATAGCTTGTTTTCCATGGCTTGCTCTGCCTGCTTTCATATAGAATCCAGGACCATTTGCCCGGAGGCAGCCCCACCCATAATGAGCTGGGCTGGACCCTCCTACATCAATCACTAATTAATAAAATGCTGTACAGGCCTACCTACAGCCAATCTTATGGAAGCGTTTTCTCAACTGGAGTTCCCTTCTCTCAAATGACTTTAGATTATGTCAAGTTGACATAAAATTAGCCATCACAGGAATAATCTTTATCTAGTTCATGGCTGTATCCTAGGGGCACAGACTAATACACAGAAGATATTTGATAAACACTGCTTGGCTGTGTAGTACTTTGAGAAAGTAAGCAGTCACGCATTTGCTATAACTGAGCTCCCACATCTTTGGACTTTCCAGGAGCCACAGGAATTGAGGATCGACTCCAAGAAGGAGTTCCAGATACCATCGCTGCACTTCGGGAGGCTGGAATCCAGCTTTGGGTTTTGACAGGAGATAAACAGGAGACAGCAGTCAATATTGCTTATTCTTGCAAACTGCTAGATCAGACGGACACCGTGTACTCCATTAACACAGAGAATCAGGTGAGGCCAAAGAGATAGGTGGGACAAGTAGATTGAAGCCAGTTTAGAGAAGGATTGAATGTTATATATGCAGCAGCCCCTCAGCCAACTCTTAGGATCTTGGACCTCAGAGGATCCAAGGAAGGGTCTAGAAGACATTCAGCCCAGTATTCAGTAACCTCTCCACATACTTAACTGTTCATTTGGGTGCTGCTGCTTATCTCCCTACTTTACAGGTAAGGACATTGAAAGCCCCCAAGGCTCAGTCTCTAGCCCAACAGCTTCCCCTGCTACTCTATGAAAACAACCAAGTCTAGAATTCTGCTCTCTTGCCAGGCTAGAGCGAGTCACATACGCTGCACTGTTTATTCAATTGTCAGTGTCTTGACAGTTAAGATTAGCCCACCTATTGAAAAGTCCCACATAAACTGAAATTACTCAGAGTTTAAATTTTCAACACCTATTGAAAACTCCCACGTAAACTGAAATTACTCAGAGTTAAATTTTCAACACCAATTTGTATGTCGTGGAGCAGGACCCTAAGGAAATAATGCCTTCAGCTGGTATGTTTTGATGGGATGGGAGATGAGGAGAAAGGAATAAAGTCCTAAAACAGTCATTTCCACCTGAGTGTGTTGTAGTTCACAAAGAGTGAGGACCGGGAGAGCGCTGTGTGAAATCTAACCAAGTGTCTTCCTCCCTGTCATACAAGTTTGTATTAGGAGGGTGGCTCCTCTTTTCCTGGTGCAAGTGTCAAAAGAGAAGTGAGGAGTGTAGAAAATGAGTGCTGAGATGTATCCCATCAGAGGGGCAGGGATGTGAGTCATGGAGACAAGGAGAGCACTGTACCCAAGGGATGGTGAGGAGCGGAACCTGGCAACCTAGTATAGCCCTAGGAAAGGCTGAGTGAGAGGCCGCCAGAGAAGGAGAGAGATTCAGGCCTCTCACTGGCTGGTTTAGACCCCAGAACAGAAGGTGGGAAAGATTTATAATTGATTGTTATACCATGAAGAAAGATGCATTATTTCAAAATGTATATATTCACACCTGTCTACATCCCAGGACCCACTAATCCTATAAAATTAGTCTTCCTCAGCCTTTTCCCTGGGAGTAAGTAGTAGATACAAAAATATGTTAAAACTAGAAAGTGGGAATATACACTCTAAATCTCCGATTTATTTAAACCCTAGTTTAATGTAATTACCTATTCAGTAAATATTTTCACAAAGGGTTTTAGTTTGCCTAACTATAAACACATTTAAGTCTAGTATCTCTTTTGTGTGTGTGTGTGTATATATATATATATATATATATATATATATATATATATATATATATATGCAATAAACAAGTTTTATGGGGCCTGCCTAGATCTCTAGGTTCTCTTATATATAATAAGGGACTAAGTATTCAATGACTAAAAATGCATTTCAAAAAACTAATAATAACAATCATTGTTACTGTTATTATTGACAACCCCTTTAGAGCGTCATATGCTCCAAACAACATACTTCCTATCTTTCTTCCTCTCAGCTGTAAAGCATGGATTTAAAATACTTATTTTACAGATTGCTGGAAGGAGTAAATAAGATCAGAGTAAAGTACTTACTTTGTCCCTACATTAGTTAGCTGTTGTTCTATAACAAGTTGTCCCCAGAGTTTAGCGGCCACAGCACACCTTTATGATGCCAAGGTCTGAGTTAGAAACCTGGGGGTTTCTGAGCTGGGGCCTGTGGATGAAGGTCTCAGTGAAGTTGCAGACCACCTTTCCAGGGCTCTGAGGCCCGATGAAGCTTCCACTGTGAAGGGTTCACAGGTAGGAAGGCACTCAGCTTTCAAGCTGACCCCCACAGCTGTTACTAGACCTCAGCTCAAAGTCCTCTGGGCTTTGCCACAGGCCATTCCACAGCCATGCAGCTGGTTCCTCCCAAGGCAAGCCAACTGGAGAGAGTGAGAAAGAGTTCTGCAGTAGAAAGCCAACTTGCATAACCTGCTTAAGGAAGTTACACCCCAATGTTTGGTGGTGGTGGTTGTTGTTCAGTGAAAATTCTCTTCACTGAAGGGAGTCATCAGGTCTAGATCACTGTGACTGGAGGGAATTACTCCAAGCACTGGTTACTGCATTTTCCCGACAAAATGTTAAGCATTCAGGGACTAGAACTATTGTGATTAAAACTTGGAAATAAGTAGATTCAGGTTTACCTGTGAAATTTATATCTCTGGTGACCGTGGGCCAGTACTGGAGGAATTTATATAACCAAGACCAACATCTAGCAATAATCACCTCGTTATCTTTTTTAGACAAATGCTCTGGTAAAACCATAGACCCAAAACCAGTTCCTGTGGCTCCTCCAGGCTTTGTGCACATCCTACTGTGTACAAGTAATTTAGCATCTTCTAGAGGAGAACTCAGGAAAATGAGCTAGCTGCCTCTGCTCCAGGAATCACTCCATTGATGGCTAGACAGAAGTCACTATAGATGGAGTTTCTCTAAATCTGTCACTTCAGGAGCACCTTTGCAAAATCTACCCAAATCCATCTATTACTTTACCTATTTCTCTTAATGATTTCATTGAAATTAACTCATGTGAATAATATTTACTTAGAATAGATTTTTAGCATTTTGACTAATAAAGAAGTACCATCCTTTGCCGTGGATTAAAGAACCTGATAGGGCTCAGGGGATGGCTGAAAGAATAAAGTACTTGTGGCATAAGCATGGGATCAGAGTTCAGATCCCTAGCACCCATATGCTAAGTGGGCATGGTGCCTGCCTGTAATCCCAGCACATAGAAGGCTGAGACAGGGAATGCTCAGGGCAAGCTGGCTAGATAGACTAGCCAAATTGACAAATTCTAGCTTTAGCAGGAAACCCTAACTCTGTAAAGTGGAACATGATCAAGGCAGCATCCAACATCCACCTCTGGCCTCCAGAGGCACCTACACATTCACCAACACATATGTAAACTTCCATGCACAAATGCATGCATGCCACACTTGCACATGGAAAAATACAGTTCATACGAGTACTGCATGTTATTAAAATTACTTATGCTATTAACTCTGTTTTCTCAAGCTTTATTAAAAAGTGATGTTTATAAGAGTTGAAGATATATCAGAAGAATAATTAATAGCAAGATATGATTTTATCACTGATAAAATTCAAACTGGTAGAAAAGGATTGCTAATTAAAAACAACTTCCTCTCTGCATTTCAAAGTAAGCATCATTTGAAAAATCATAAAACTAGCATGATAGCAGTACAGCTTTAATCACAGTACTTGAAAAGGGAAGCAGTAGGATCACAGGACTTGTAAAAGGAAGCAGTAGGATCACAAGTTCAAGGCCAACCTGGGCTGTATGAAAAGACCATCTCAAAGAAACAGAAATAACAGAGAATATTCTTTGAACCAGTAAGAACTTCACATCCATGGTCAGTTCAGACCAACATGAAAAAACCTTCATAGCACAGTTCTTAAAACCTCTGTGGAGCAGACCAATAGATAAACACAGGGCAGTGGTTTGCTTTTGAAGTTAGGAAGCCACGTTTGAAGAAGTCAAGATCGTGCCTCACTACTAGGTTAAGTTGACATTGAGTAAGTTACTAAGTTACTCATCATTTCAATCTCCTCATCTCTAAATCTTGACCAGGAATCTCTACAAAAACATCAAAAGGGGCAACAGGGAGCAGGGGGAGTCTAGAAGAGACTGAAACCAGTTTATATAACAGCATGAAATATTATCAGTGTCTACCAGTATATTAGTGTTGGTTTTTATTGTATACCCACCTCAACTCAGTTGCCTTCTTGCTGTGCAAGTTTTATTTTAATCCTAATCACCTTCTCCTATTCTGGTCATTAATTTGTTTCAAAATTAGTATAGTTTAATGCTGCTTCAAATGCTGCAGAGAAATGTACAGTGAACTTAGAGAAAAATTCCTAAACAACCTATACGGTAAGAGTTTTATAATTATCTTACAAAAATAAAGGTAAAGCTTTAACATACAAGGTTGCTCACTAATACTGTATGACTCTCTACAGGAAACCTGTGAGTCCATCCTCAACTGTGCATTGGAGGATGTAAAGAGTTTTCATGAACCACAACAGCCAGCCCGAAAACTCTGTGGGTGCCACATGCCATCTAACATGCCAACTGTTAACTCAAGAGCTCTGGCTCCTGAAGTTGGACTGGTCATTGATGGGAAGACACTGAATGCAATTTTCCAGGGAAATCTGGAAAATAAGTTCCTGGAGTTGACCCAGTACTGTCGGTCTGTCCTGTGTTGCCGCTCCACCCCACTCCAGAAGAGTATGATTGTCAAGCTGGTGCGAGACAAGTTGAGCGTCATGACTCTTTCCATAGGTATCCATCATGCTGGGATGTGGGTGGCATCTTGGCAGGGATGATGATCTGGGTCATCAAGGAAAGCTGACATGCTTAGGCTGAGGGTCATTGCCTTTGATAAAAATCACAGTCAAGACGTGGCTATTAGGTGACAAAATGGGGGTCACTAGATTAGAGCAATGATCAAGCTCTTAGAACTGGCCAGTTAACTAAATAAAAATCCAATCTTACAGGGAGGTCATTGCTAACAAGGGCTAGGGACTTAAAACATGAATGTAGGTTGTTTTTTTTTTTTAATATTTTTACCAGAAACCAAGATAGCACCACTAGGAGATACCATCCAGTGCCCTTTCAGAATTAGTTTACCCATGGTAATATCTATGGTAGCTATGAATTTGTTATTCTTCTGAGGATAGGGGACTGGTAGAGAGATTTCAAAACATTAGGTGAGCTCACTTTTAATTTCGTATACTAGTCTCTAAATCCAAGGCCAGCACCAACCATATTCTTAATCCATTCTGGTTGACTGATGATAAATTGCTCAGAGGGGCTTGAACAAATCAGGTCAAAGCACAGAAATAAATACTTCTCACTGAGTACCTCCCAGGCATAACAAGCCTGGTTTACAAGAATCTTCACAATCTGGCCTCCACTAACTGTCTGACAGTGTCTCATCATGACCACCTTTTATTCCTCATCACTGGGTTCTTCATGTTCCCTTCAAATAAGTTATGTGCCGTGGTCCTCGCCTCCTACTTATCTTGCCCTTTTCTGGGATTCCCATTTCTCATTTAGGCCCAATATCTATTGTCCCTTCTGTGACCACTTCTGCAATAGTTTACAGATTCCTGGACTTCCAGAGATGGGGTCTGCTTCATTCACTATTTGATCTCATGATCATCATTCACTATTTGATCTCATGATCAGCACATTCCATACATTCCATACATGTAGTAAATACAGCCACTCCCTCCTCATCCCTCAACACACACATACACATACACATAAACACACACAGCATCCAAGCCTCACTTTCTATCATTTTAGTTGCCTTTGGGCCTAAGAGTAGATAACCATAGAAATAAACATTCTTGAGTCTAAATAACTATTGTAGTATATTGTTTTAATTTACTATAATATTATATGTTAGTTATTGTTACCTTTTATTGGGCATAATTTATGGATTAAAATTTATTATCATTACATATGTATATAAAAATATATTTAAAAAACAAAACAAAAAAATAGTCTATAGAGTATCGCACCCTCCATGGTTTCAGACACACATAGGAAGTCCTGGGAGGAAGCCCTCACAGACAAGGGTAACTAAATCACTCTGTAGATGGTTCTAGCCTCTCTTCTTCCTCTGATGTTCCAGAGATCTGGAAAATATTATGTTCTTTCCTCAGGCTTCATGTGCAATATAAAAACTGAATTTAAAAACTAGAGGATCAAACACAGTGGCACAGGCATATAACCCAGCACTTAGGAGGCAGAGGTAGGAGGACCCAAAATCCAAGGTCACTCCCACCAACACTAGGCCAGTCTGGACTATATAAGATATATAAGACAATGAAAGGAACAGATCCCTAAGCAACTACATTGCTACCTCAATGCTGTGAATTGTCCTCTTCTGTAACCCAGATAGACAATAGGCAATAGCCCAGCACATATTCTCTGAGGTTAGAGATTGGTCTCACTCCCATAGCAACAGAAACAAACCCAATGGGGCAAGAAATAGCATGATTCCACACCTCTGCTTCTCCTGATGTGCCAACAGAAGTTAAAGCTTAGATTTATTCTACCTTCAAAAGGATTAAAATTATGGACTGCTGTGCTATTGAAAAAAGAATTAATATAATAACAAAGTCTACCTAGAAAGGCAAATACTAGATTTTTAATTGACATAATTGTATAAATTTATGGGGTACAATTTTAATGATAACATTTTAAGCTCAATTATACTTGATGCCAAATAATTAGGGAAAATTATTTTCTCTCCTCTCCAATTCCATATTTTCTGTGATGAACAATGTAAACTTAATTACAGCTTATATATGAGAAGCTTTTAGGGAAAAAAGTGGGACCAGGAAAAGAATACAGTCAACACGATCTATAATGGGAGTTATCAAAACATAGCCCACAGGCTGTGTCCAGCCTACTACATATTTTTGTGTGGAATGTAATAATGGTTTTTGTATTCTTAAGTGTAAAGTTTATAACTACCAGCCTTTGAGCAACAACAATTATTTGACTTTGTGGCTTCCAAAGTCTAAAATATTTACTGGATCCTTTAGAGTTCAGTTTACTGAGCTCTGGCTTGAAAGATAAAGCACTGAGGAAAGTTGGACTCTGTAAGATGCCCTCGCTGTACAGAGCTATATGTGGCTTCTTCATTAAATACAACTTCCCCAGCTACATTTCAATAGAAAGAAAATGGCAGCAGTTTCTGTACTGGACACTGTAGATACAGAGTTCTTACTTCATCAGAGAACTGGGTATTTGATATATAGTCCTGATGCCGGAGGTAGAGTATGGTGTGTGTGTGTGTGTGTGTGTGTGTGTGTGTGTGTGTGTGTGTGTGTGTGTGTTTATTTTCATGGCCTCACTTCCTATTTCATGAAATCTCAATTCATTCAATGTGACTAGTATATCTCAGCCAAAAAAGTGAGTCAACCTCACTTTTCCACATTCATACAGAAAACTGACTGTCGACCATCCCTTTGGATGTTACACAGTCTCTGGGGATCTGGCTGTCCCTGCATTCTAGCCACCATGGTATGGTAGCTGGTGCAAGTCACACTGAGGTAGAGAGGGCTCCTCGGCCTTGTGTTAGTTACCTGTTTGTCGTTGTCATCATGAAATATCTGACATGAGGAGCTGTTTATTTGGTCAGTTTCAGTCCACTCCTGGCTCCACTCCATTCTCCTGAAGTGTGAGGCAGAATACCATGGTAGATGACTGAGGAATGTGACTCCATGGTGGAGTCTCACTTAGCGTTTGCTCTAGCTCTAGCACACACACACACTCACACACACACACAAACACACGCACAAACTCATGCTGGTCGTGTGCTGGAATAGAAGTGCTAGCTCATGGCAATGAAAAGCTGAAAGAGAGACAAGAAGGAGCCCAAAAACCCTTCAAGGCCATGCCCCAAGTCACCCACTTCCTTTAGCTAGCCCCCACCTCCTGCCAGCTCCCAAGAATGCCATCAAATTATTAATCCATGAATGGATTGTTTGGTTGATAAAGTTAGAGCCCTCATGACCCAGTCAGTTCTCAGTGAGTCGACCCACCATCTGGGGGACAAGCCTTGAACACAGAAGCCTTTCATGAAACATGCCACATCAAAGTGCTAACAACCTCAGAATCAGAACAGAAAAACCCGAGTTCCAATACTTATGAGTGCCTTCACCAGATGGACTGCCCGGACCAAGTCTCAAAATGGGTCAGATTCTTGCTTTGCTCTTCAGCAAAATGTATTCTCACATTTGCAAAGGTCTTTCTGTAAAAGGTAAAGGACCACTCATGACTCTTTGGATCACCATTGGTGGGGGAGGACAATAAAAAATACTCATTGAAAGATCTAAAATAAACTAGGGTTTCTCATCCACAGTTTAAAAAAAAAAAAAAAAAGACAACTTTCAGGCCAAATAGCAGTGACATCCTATTTAGAGAAACGTTGAAAGAATTCAACTGTGCAAATAGGGACACTCTGAGATTTCTCATCACTGAGCTGTTGGACAAGGAATAAAGACACCCTGTGACCTCTCTCTTTTCAGGTGATGGAGCGAATGACGTAAGCATGATTCAAGCTGCTGACATTGGCATTGGAATATCTGGGCAGGAAGGCATGCAGGTAATGGACCCATTAATGCTTTTTTCTTCCCTGCTCTCCTGCATTCTTACTGGAGATTTGAGGAATATCCCACGGTGCCAAAGAGACCTTCCTTTGAGCTTCATAGAATTCTTAACTGACAGTCAGGGGTGTCTCCCATGCCTTTGTGTCCTCTGTCATCAGAATCTTACCATCCGTCCTCCAAAAACAGAGGCACACTGAGGAAAAGTAGCTTTTTAAAAAAAAACAATGGTAGCTATAGTAGAAGGCTGCACAACATGTAAGCCCTTCTCGGACTCCACATACCCTTCATGTGACCTGAATGATAGACATAGGGACATTTGAAAATATTTTATTGCCTCATAAATTGGTACAGTTTCATAGTATACCTAATTCTCTAAAAATTCCATTTGGAACATGCATACTCAAGCGAGATGATATAGTTCTTTCCCACTAAAACAGGCCCTATTTTGTGATTTTGAACCATCAGGGATCATGGTCTCACCATCAAGGAAGATATTGCTTTAATTCATTGCTGAGAATTAGAAAGGCATCCATAGGTCTCTGTTCCCTTTCAGATGTTTACCTTACGCCAGCAATGTTAGGTACTTCATATTTATATGTTACCACATGGAATTTTAATAATTATTAAAGATTATAGATTATCAATCATTTTTTCAGATAGGAAAACTGAGGCTCAAGGAGTTGACGTAATCTGAAAAGTACTTATACCAAGACCAACACATCTAAACCTCATTCTCTTAAGAATAAGACTGTATCTTATTATAAATAGCCCCAAGCATAAAATGCCCATCTTAACATTGTGTAAATAAACTTCCCAACCAACAGTGTCATCTGTAAATTATGCCAATAGTCTGCTTGAGTGGTACCCAGGGGTACTCAGGGGCTTGAGAATCACCCAATGGAAATCTGTTCTGGTTCACCCCTAGAACAGATACTAACACTGGGCCTTAATGAATGATTGCTGGATAGATGGATAGAAATAAGGGACCAAGTAGAGTACTGGCCCCTCTCACTTGCCCTTCTTGAATTCTGGTAATTTTTCAGCTTCCAAGAAGGGAGGGAGGGATGTCAGAATCCAAAGAGCCACCCAAAAGCGACTACATCACAAGGGACCATTCAGGCCCCGAATGCTGCTGACTAGAATAAAGCACGGTCCTTTAGCGAGCTTCTTTCGGGACAGTGGTGGGTGTGCATGAAAGCTGATGTCTCCACTCTTCCCTCCCAGGCTGTCATGTCCAGTGACTTTGCCATTGCCCGATTCAGCCACCTCAAGAAGCTGCTTCTCGTGCACGGCCACTGGTGTTACTCGCGCCTGGCCAGGATGGTAGTGTACTACTTCTACAAGAATGTAGTGAGTATCCCCAGTGTAACCTACCACTCAGACCTTGTCGTCCTTACTCTGTCTCCTCTGAATAGCAGATCAAGGGAGTTAGTCCACTGACCTGGACTTGGGATCTCACTAATTGTGTAACTTGGGGTAACACTGTTCATTTCTCCATAGGCCATAGTTTCCTCTCTAATTTTAAAACAGGAAGGGGGCTGCTATCGCTTGCTGTGATATTGTCATGAGAATTGCCTATGCTGTGTGGAAAGCACCTGGCACATAGGGACAGCATGAATGCTTATGTTGATGGATCCTGGGATCAGATTAAGTCCCATATTTAGTCAGATTCCCATATTTAGTAATTGTCTCCAAATTTAGGTTTCTCCATCTACAAAATGCAGGTGATAATAGTTCCTTTCTCACATGTGCTCTGTGCTGGTCAGCTCTTCATCCATGTGGCAGAATACCTAGGATAATCAACTTCGAATTAGGAAAGATTTGGCTCATTCTTCTGGAGGTTTCAGTCTGTGGTTAGTTGGTTCATTTGTTTTGGGGTCGGTAGCCTGTAATAATAGTGATGTGTATTCTAAATAAAGGTTGGTTTCTGTCCTGATAAGGCCCCAAAGCAAGTACATGCCAGATGAGCTATTAAAGCTACCAAAGGCTCCTGTTTTTAAAAAGTCCAAGATTAATAGTGAGAAATCAAAGCATAGCTGGACCAAGGGATGAAACAAGGGACTGAGTTTCCATCACCTACTTCAAGGATCTTTGATCCAATAGAACTCAACTCCTTTTTGCATAATGAAAAATAGACGGTTAACACTGGGGTGATGGAAGACAAACATAGTAGCCTATAAAATTAAAAAGTTTCCTCTTAGTCCATTGTTTTAGGATCTGACATAGTCATCCTTGTTCAGGAGTGAACTTCTCTGTTCAAAGTTCAATGCATATGCATATGTAAAGAACAGCACAACAAAAATAGTATAAATTCAACCAACTGGATGGTGATATTGTCTCAACACTGTCTATGCAAGCAAGTCACTCCATTTGACTTGAAATTCACTCTGATCATGAAAGACAATTTACTTAGAATTCAAATACCCTGCTTCATTTTTCTTTTGCATCCAAGGAATCATTCTTTGAATCAGCACAGCCTCCTCTCTGCATTAAATTTGTGAAACAGAAAGGAAACGTCTCCAGCCAGCCACGCTCTCAAAGCTCAAGTGATATTTATTTCTAGCATGTTGCCAAGCTCAAAACTGCAATACTCATGCTGTATTATCTCCCAGCTGCAATTAGAGGGTGGGGAACTATGACTTCCACATCCGAAACCAATTCCAGAGGGATTAAAACCCTGCCTGCTCTGAAATTTGAACAATGAATTAATTACTGTACTGGAACATCTAGGGAGGAAGAGCAGGCACCCAATCCGAGACATGCTGTCACAAGCTTCACTGTGCTCCCTGAGAGATGCAAAGACTGTAGCTAGGAAGGGAAAGTGGGAACCAGCCTCTGGGGGAAGGATATACTCTGTGATATTAAATTTTCAAGATGAGTTGTCAGGACAAAACAAAGATTCACTTCATCTATTCACATAACTACTGATGTCTGCTGTATGATAGGCAGGATGCTAGCCACTGGACATAACGTGGGGACTGAACCAGGGAGAATATTCCCTGACCCTGGGGGAGGTTTTGCCCATCTTGGGACAAGAAGCTTCTTCCAGGAAAGGCTAGACAACAAATACTTTCTGCTTTGTTGGTCATGTATGTCTAGATGAATCTTACTATGGAACCCAAGGATAGGAACAGAAAAGGCCCAGAGTAACTAAAGAGAACTTTGAAACTTCAGGTACTTGTTGCTAGTTCTCAACTAGGGTAAAGTGAAGCTGAGTGTCTTGGAGCTATGAATATCATTGCTATAGTATTGATATTTATTAATTACATTCATTTAGAGATATGAGTGATGCCCTCACAGGTGGTTAAGACTAATAATAATGGATACTGCACATCTCATGTACTAGATGGCAATCTGTTGATGTGTTATAAATGTGTATCTCACATTTAATACATACAGGAGTTAAAGAACAGATTGTTGTTAGTGTTAGAACTATGACAGTATTAATGTGTTATTATTAATAATGATAATAGAGTTGGGGATTTAGCTCAATGGTAGAGCGCTTGCCTAGCAAGCACAAGGCCCTGGGTTCAGTCCTCAGCTCTGGAAAATAATAATAACAATAACAATAATAATGATGATGATGATAATAAATAGCCTCTTCGAAATAACATTGACCCTGTCAGATATGGTGGCATTTAATCCCAGTACTCAGGAAGCTAATATAGGAGAATTGAGAGTTTAAAGTTATATCAAAACCATATCTGAAAAAAAAAATTTAACTCAGAAATTAGAGCAAGTCTTGCAAAAATCTGCTGAGTAAATGCTTGTAAGACTACCACCACCCCCATGCTTGGGTCTGAAACCTCTGCGTTCCCTAAGGCTAGGTCCATACATCAAATGGCAGTAGGAACCCAGCACTCCTGGTAGGAGGATCTTGGACAAAAAAGAGTTGTCAAAACAAAAGTAAAGCCTGAGGTAGTGGCATATGCACTTAGTCCCAGCACTTGAGAGGTAGAGGCAGACCGACCACTGAGTTTGAGTCCAGCCCAGTCTACATAGTGTGTTTCAGGTCAACCAGGCCTCCATACTGAGACTGCATTTTAAAGAAAAGGATGTATTTAAGCAGATTTTCTGTTCACCCTTCTGAAGGTGAACCCTCACCATCAGGAAGGCATGTGGTAACCCTCATGGGGTCAGCTTCCCATTAGGTTTCCAGCTTATGGATTAACAGTAATGTTTTATCATGACCTCTTCATACACTGCCATTATACATTGTTCTCATTCATTCACCCACCCACCCACCCCCACCCCAAATCCATACCAATGTCCTCTTCCACCTCCCAGTTGGTCCCCTTTGTTGTCTCAATTATTCCCCCTTCTTTCTTATTACATGTATGGCATTACCCTATGTCCCACCCCCTTTAAATTATCCCACCCATGATCCCTTCCAAGTTTCATGACCTAGGAACACACATTTGTAAATACCTTTAGATACATACCACATTTTCTTCATCCATTCATCTGGTTCCATTCCCTGGTTGTCGTGAATGGTGCAACCATAAATATAGCCATGCAGTCTCTCTCTGTGTTTACTATGAGTCACTTGGGTATTCATCAAAGCTGAGTCACATGACAGTTCTATCTTCAATTTTTGAGGGGCCCTCTGTAGAGATTTCCACAGTAACTGCCCAAGCTATGTTCCTCCATCTGTAAGTGTTCCTCCTCCATCGTCCTGTCATTTACTTTCTTGCTATTATCAGCTTAAACTTGTACTCCCTGATAGCTAAGGACAGTAAACACTTTTTCAAAGTCATTGGCCCATTTATTGGTTAGACAACTGTAGTGTTTAGTAGTTAGTTATCTGTGGATCCTGAGGATTAATCTTGTTTCTGATGCACAGTGGACAATGTTTCTTTTGACATGAAAGTTCATGACTAGACTTTCACCCTGATGTTTCTGTGAGGACACTTACTAATTTCATCTAATTCTTCCTCAGTTTGGGGGATTATTGCTTCAACCATTGAAGCCCTATTCAGAAAATTCTTTCAGTGCCTATATCTTGTTTTCTCTCACAGCACTTTCAAAGTTTCAGGTTTTACATTAAAGTCTTTGATCTATTTTTAAGTTACTTCTGTACAAGATGTGAGAAGAATCTAGTTTCATTCTTCTACATGTGGACACCCAGTTTTCCTAGTGCCATTAATTTAAGGGGTTGCCTTCTCTCCAGTGTGACAGCTTTGTTAAAAATTAGACAATTATGGCATTAGAGAGATGGCTCAGTGGTTAAGAACACCACTGCTCTTCCAGAGGTCTTGAGTTCAGTTCTCAGCAACTACATAAAACGGTTCACAACGATCTTTAGTTCCTACACAAGGGGATCCGATTGCCATCTTCTGGCCTCAGGAGCCACTGCACTTATATACACAGATACCACACACAAATGGAAATAACTCCTTTATTAAAAAGACACTTTTTGTTTAAAAATTAGACTGTTATTACCATGTTAGTTTATTTCCAAGTCCCCTGTTCGACTTCATTGGTCTACATGTCTGCCTTTCCAGACAGTGCCAAGCTGTTTTTTTGTTTTGTTTTGTTTTATTTTGTTTTGTTTTTTGTTTTTTAGTGTAGCTCTGTAATATAATTTGATTTGGGGTGTTACATTGTTTCTGGTATCACTCTTTCTGATAAGAATTGTTTTAAATATCCAAGACCTTTCGTGTGTCCTATATTTTGCTCTAGTTCTTTGAAAAATGTCATTTGGATTTTAATGGGGATTCCTGTCAATCTGTAGATTGCTTCTGGTGATCTTGCTATTTTTACTGTTAATTCTGACCATCAGTGCACACAGGAGTTCTTTCCATCTTCTAGCACCTTAAAGTTTTCATTGTAGAGCTCTTTGATTTCCTTGATTAGTTATTTTCCTTGATTTTTATTTTTTAAAGCTGTTATGAGACTTTCCCCTTATTTCTTTCTTGGCAAGTTCATTATTACTATCCAGAAAAACCACTTAATACATGTTAATTTTTTATTATGCTACTTTTCTGAATGTTTATCAGATCTAGGAAGCTACTAGTCGAGTACTCGGATCTTTAAATATATCATTATCGGTATAATTACAATTGTTTTAGATATATAAAGGAATGATTCCCTTATTGATATATACTTCCTACATTTCTTCTGACGAATTTTGAAGTCTGCTTTCTCATATATTACAAAGTTATACAACTTGGTTCTGGTTTCCATTCACTTAATAGTTTTCGATCCTGTGACTCTCAGCCTATAGGTGTCCTTCCAGTGAGGCAGGTTTCATGGCACCAACAGAACACTGAATCAGTTTTTCTTAATCCAGTCATCCAGGCTCTATGCTTCTGGCATTGAGACCACCTGTCTTCTCTGGGTATAGTTCGTTCCTTTCATTGTCTTCTGTGGTGCTAGCTTGGTGGTGAAGAACTGCTTTAGCAAATGTTTTCCCTATTTTTTATTTTATTTAAAATATAATGACACCATTTCCTACCTTCACATCTCCCCTTATAAATAGGACCTGCTGCGTCTATTTAGTGTTGCTTCCATGGACATGATTTCAGGGCTGTCCACTTTGTATTGGATAACCAGTTCCAGGGCTCACACCTGAGGAAGACAAATTCTTTCTCTTTCCAAGTCATTAGTTGCCTTAGTTTCTTGTGGAGGGCTGAGGCTCCATGAGATTTCCCCCTTCCACTATATGTCTGTTGGTGTCGTCATTGTTCAGCTCTTGTTTAGGCAGCCATATTTGGGGGATATCGTGGGTAAAGCTTCCCTGTTGTTTCTAGGAGATCTCACAACAGATTTCCTGGTCCCATGTCTCTTACAGTCTTCTACAAGGTTTCCTGAGTCTTAGGTGCAGGAGTTGTGTTGTAAATGTATCCGTTGGTTCTGAGCACCATGCTATCAGTTGTCCTCAGTATTTTGAGCAGTTGATGTTTTCTGTGATGAACTCTGTCTGCTGTAAAGAGAGGCTTCCTTGGTGAAGTGTGAGAGCTACGCTCATCCGTGGGTATAAGAGTAAGTATTTAGAATGTAGTTAGGAATTCTGTCACTCTAGTAAAGTAGCAGTAGTATGTTGCTGAAGTTTTCCTGTATCCCGCCTGGTCTGCAGCCACTCAGACCCTAGTAAACACACGGAGCTTATATTAATTTAAACTGCTTGGCCATTAGCTCAGGGTAACTATTGACTAGCTCTTACACTTAAACTTAGCCCATTTCTGATAATCTATATGTTGCCATAGATTCCATGGCTTTATCTGTGTGCCATTACATGCTGCTCCCTAGATGGCGGGCTGGTGTCTCCTCACTCAGCCTTCCTCTTCCCAGAATTCTCCTTGTCTGCTTATCCCACCTATAATAGTAGGTTCTCCTCTAAGACCCACTCAGTATCCCCAGATCGTTGGCTAGATTTCCAATACAAGGCATGATTCCCTCCAGTTGAGCAGGCCTTGAATCCAATTAGGGAGCTGTTGATTACCACCAGGAGATGATTGCTCCTGTTGCACCTTCAGGAGTATCTTGCAAGCAGGGCTAGTCATTGTTATGGTTCACAGGCATCTCAGCCAGGTAGAACTATCGATCATCCTCCCACCTTGTCAACTTACATAGCTCTTCCTAGTACCATGAAAGTTAATCCTCAGAGACCAGGCTTTCAGGTCAGACCCAGCCTGAATCTTCTAAGTACATGATGTCTTCAGCCACTAGGAAGCAACCAAGAGCAATAGCAATAGCCTACTGTTTGGGAAGTCTCTTAAATGTCATGATCAACTAGTCAAAAAGAGGTTCTCCCTACCTGGTGCTAGGGCTTTGTTAAATGGCCTCTGGCTGATGTGGGGACCATTGTCAGACCAAGCGGCATAACTTCATTTAAGGTGTGTGTGTGCGTGTATGTAATTTTAGATTTACATTAAATGTTTCTTTAAGACTTTGAACATTCTTAGTGTTATGTGTTACTCTTTCCTTCTGCATAGACTACCCTCATACTTCCAAATTACCCATTCATATCACTTGGCTCTTGCTAGTTCCCTCCCTAGCACCCCTCCCCACCCTTATTCTTTTTTTACTTTCTGGCTTCTGCAGTTACTCCAGGTTAATATATTCCCATTTGAAGATAGGAACCAGAGATGAGAGAGAATATGTGACATTTGTCTTTATTTCTGTCAAATTTAAAAGTGCTATGTACGGCACTTTTGGTTGCCAGCCATTTACTCTCAGGGATTAAGACAGCTCATTCCATGATTTCCTGCTTTTGAGGGTTTCTCATTAGAGATCTGCTGCCACTCTGGTGTCTCTGCCTCTGTGAGTTGTCATTTTTCTCTTAAAGTGGTTTTTCTTATGACTTTATTAAGAAATTTTATTTTTTTTAATTATGTGTGAGTGAGTATGGGATTTCTTCATGAGAATGCAGTACCTGCAGAGATCATAGAGGACATCAGATCCCTTGGAGCTGGAGGAACAGGCAGTTCTGAGCCTGTAACAGTAGTTGTGGGTACTCAGAACTAAACCCAGGTCCTCTCAAACACAGTTCACACATCTTACCACTAGTGGTATCCATACCTCACCACTGAGCCATCTCTCCAGCCCTCCCCTTACCACTTTTAATATTGTTTCATTGCTTTGTGTTTTTGATATGTTTACTATGTCATATCTATTTGAGACTCTCTAGATTTGGAGAGTTTTCTGCTATAATTTTCATTGACTAGATGATCTGTATCATTAGTTTAATCTCAGTCCCTACTTCTGTCCCACGGTGTTGAGTTCTGTCACTTGATCATACCCCGCAGTTTAAGAATACCATAGTCATACTCATTTGCTTTTACCCTTATTGATATTTGAATGCAGGATTTCATCATCCTTGTCCTCCATCCTTGACATTTCTTTCTTCTGCTCACTTTGGCCTTTAGGCAGTGCTTTCTACCAGGTTTTCTATTAGGTTCATTGAGTTTTCATTGCCAACATTTTTTTTTTAATCTCCCAGTATGTCTTTTTGTCTTGTTCTTCAAATCTTAATTTCCTTGATGAATGTTCCTTCTGTGTTGTGACTTTCCTCTCTAGAGTCCCAGGTGAATTTAGCTGCCTGTTTGTATACTCTTTCAGAGCTTTTGAAACCTTCTTCCAGTTATTGATTTGAGTGTCTTTGAGTTCCTTAGTTGAGAAATTGTATTACTACTGAGGAGTCATGTGTGCTCTTTATTGAATTTCTGTCTAGCAGTTTGTGCATCTCTTAGCACTTGGGTTGAAGAACCTTCATACTGAGCTCTTGAAGGTTCAGTCCCCTGAAAACTCAGTCAAAAGAGAACTAATGGAGAAGCAACAGCATCTCACCACACAAGATCTAGAAATATACTTTAAATCAGTTACAGCCCTGGGAGTGAGGAGTGTCTCTGACTCTTTGGACCTTTTTCTTCCTACTTGGTTGCCTTGTCCAGCCTTGATATGAGGGTTTTGTACCTAATCTTATTGTAACTTGTTAGGCCATGTTCAGTGGATATCCTTGGGAAGCCTGCTCTTTTTTTTTTTTAATGGAAATGGAAGAGGAGTGGATCTGGGGGCAGGAGGGATAGGAAACTGTGGTCCAGATGTAATGTATGAGAGAAGTATAAAAGAAAATAATCAGTTATATCCCATCAGTGACCACAGATTTGAAAATGAAAAATTACAGTAGCATAAGCCATGAAGTTAAAAAATTATTCAGGGTAAGGAAGGAGAGGGAGAAGAGAAAGGAGAAGTCCGGTTAATTTGATGGGAAAGGGAGGAACGGAAAAGAATGTTAGAAATAGGAAAAGAACAAGAGTTGTAAATCAAAATAAAAGAGAATTTAAACAATTCTCCCAATAGTGAAAAAGTTCCAAATTATATCCATGTAAGAGGGAGAATAAAAAGAAATTTAAAAACATTACCTTTTAAAGGCTAATAAGGTAAAGTTGAAATACCACTTAATGTAGAGGAGGGGGAAGAAATAGAAAATAAATAATAAAAATGCATAAGTAAAAATTAGATGGATGTAAATTAATACAATATGGTTTTAAAAACTGTGCTAAATATGCAAAAAAATAAAAGGGGTGGGTACTGGGGTAAGTTCTTTCTGGCCCCTCAAACTGGGAACTATAAGTGTGTGTGGAGGGAATAGGCCAGTTAAACTGTGACATCTCACCTGTCCTGTTGTTTATGTGACATCTCAATCTATGTTGGACAAATGTCTGATGTTCCCCAGAGCTTTCTTCAAAAGGGGGCATTCTCCTTCCTTGAATACCAGGGACTCTGCTGGCCACATTTAGGTTTGTATGATATGGGCTAGGTACCATCCTGGAGTGGCTGTTTTAGCTGGGGGAAAGGGTGGGTCTCCTAAATTTATTGAGAAGCAACCAGAGCTTAGAGGACCTCCTTTAATATTTTTGTACCTTCAAAGTTTGAGCCCTTACAAATCAGGTGGCTTCAGAATTTGATCTAACCCCTGGCTTTAGACTTGGCTATCATCAAACCTAAGGGCAATTCGGAGTAGATGAGCCTGTCCCTCTCTTCATATACTTGCCAGCCCCCAGCTCAGCATCTGAGCCTTCTCTCACCTAAGCCCCATGGCAAGTCAAATTGAAGCTCCATGATCTGTGGGTGTTTCCTAAACTCAGGGCCCCAAGGATAGCTCAGTCTTTACCACTCAATTCACTCTTAATATGACAATGGGCGGCTACCCTCCTAGTTACAGGGTGGCAAAATGGGGTTTGTCTCCACTGCTGACTCATCCACAGCTGTCTCACCCAAATCTACCAGGTTTGACTCATGAATGTTGGGGGCTTGTCTTGGGGGACATCACCCAGCTTTCTTACCTCCCCAGTCTCCTCCCTGCACCAGGCTCTGTCACCTGCGTCTCCTGTGTGACACATCTTTGCTCCTGTCACTTCCTCCTTGGTTCTTCTTTACTCTCTTTAGGATCAAGTTTCTTTATTCTTACTTTTCGCTCTCTCCTTTACGGACTCACACAGAAGCAACCTGTAGTCTGCCATCTTACCTGGGAATCCACAGCTCAGCTTTTGATCATCCCTTCCCCCACCTTCTGTTACCACTGGGATACTATTTGTGTGTGATGTGCCGTGATAGAGAGCAAAATGACGTTCAGAAAGGTGATGTAGTTTGCCCAAGGTCACGGAGCTAGTAATGAATATGCATACGAGGGGGGGATTTAAAACCTGGCCTCTCTACTTCCCAAACCTGTGCTCTCCGCCATCTTAGTCCAGCACACTGTGTGCAGGGACCTGACTCACGAAAGCTCTCCGCCTGCAGTGCTATGTCAACCTGCTCTTCTGGTACCAGTTCTTCTGTGGTTTCTCCGGCTCCACCATGATTGACTATTGGCAGATGATATTCTTCAATCTCTTCTTCACCTCCTTGCCTCCCATCGTCTTCGGAATCCTCGATAAAGATGTCTCTGCAGAAACGCTCCTGGCATTGCCTGAGTTATACAAGAGTGGCCAGAACTCCGAGGTGAGGAGCTGCAGCAGGCTTGGGAGGTAGCTTCAGATTCTCTCTAACCTCTGACAGCTCCCTGCAGGTCAGAGAAAGATGATTGAGCTGGGGGTCAGGAACGCTACTGTCTAGCCACAGTTCTGCCATTTACTTCCTGTGTGACTTTTGGGTGACTCTGGTCTGTTCCATACTTGCTAAGAATGTTAGATAAGACCAGTAAGTATATTTTAATAGCACCTTAATTATATCCCCTGTCAACTGCCATAGCAGAAGGGCGGGGCAGGGGCGGGGGTGGGTGGGGGGGATACATATGGTAAGATCCCATCCCTCCAGGCTGTGAAGTACAGCAATTAAATGCCCAAGACCCTCTTACAAGCACATTTTCTGTTTCTCTAACAAAATACCAAGGGCTGAGTAATATCATAAAAGATTTTATTTAGCTCATAGTTTTAATGCTACAAGTCTGAGATCATGTAGCTCTGTCTGCTCAGCCTTCTAGGGGAGGGCCCCCTCAGCTCCATCATAATGAGGAAATGCATCCATTGTAATGGCAATAAATCTGAGAAGGGGAGATCACACAGGGTGACAGGAAGCTAGTGAGATTCCTAGGTCAAGATCACTCTAACAACCCATTCACATGGAAACTAACTCACTCTAAAACCAGCATTAATCCCATTCGGAAAAGCACCCTCCTTCAGTAACCTAACCACCTCCCACTAGGCACTGTGATAGACATCACCGTACTGAGGACCAACCTTCCAACATAGAAGCCCTCGAGGACACACTCAAATCATGTCCAAACAGTAGCACCTGGTTCAGGGGATCCCTATGACTAACAACTAGTCTTCTCAATGAATAAGGCACTCGAGAATGCTTCTATTTCACTCGAAGGAAGGCAGAACTAGACCTCAGCATTACATAGAGTCTAGCACTATCTCCAGGAAACTTAAGAAAGCTTAGAAAGTCATCAAGTGCATTTCTATAAAGGCCATACAGAAGCTGGGAAGGACCTGAAGAAATAATCCAAGTGGTGCGCTTAGCCAAGGCACAGACAAGGAGGCTGGACAGATGAGATGAGAGTGACATTGGAGCTGTAAGCACAGAGCTTTGAAACACCCGCGAGTACAACATGTGCCTTGGCGCCTGGAAGGAAGGAGGGCAACGCCATAGATGGTGGTTTGTTTTGTTTTGTTTTTGTTTTTCGAGGCAGGGTTTCTTTGTGTAGCTTTATGCCTTTCCTGGAACTCGCTTTGGAGACCAGGCTGGCCTCGAACTCACAGAGATCCGCCTGCCTCTGCCTCCCGAGTGCTGGGATTAAAGGCATGCGCCACCACCGCCCAGCTAGATGGTGTTTTTAGGAGTCACTGTTTTTGTTGTTTTGTTTTGGTTTTTTTCTGGACAGCTGAAGAATCAAACCAAACCAAGTCCTAATCAAAGACAGAAGAGAAAGCAATGCAGCACCCCGAGAAGCCAAGCTAAAGAGGAGAGGGAGGGAGCACAGCCCCCCTCAGGCTCCTCTAATTTTACACCCCACCCCACAGGCAGGCTGGCTGCACAACATAGGCCCTGAGTATCTACGATAAAAAAAAAAAAAAACCATAGTAAATCACGTTTCCTTTTTCTCAAAAAGGGAGAAGAGCAAAGCATAAGATGAAAAATCTTGTCTCTAAAGTAGTTGATCTCTGACTCTTGGTAGCATTGATCCTGGTCTGTGAGTGAGCTCTCCACCACAGAGAGCACTTAGTGACTTCAGAATAGCAGTCCTAGCGAGAGAGCTAATGAATGTCACTGACAGCACTTCCGAGATACCAAAGCACAGTTGCATTTAGTCCCCTTGAACTCCAAATTCTATGGGACAAGAAAGCAGTTCTCAGAGAAGGTTCATAACATCTACAAAGTAGTGTGTTTGAGTGGTGGAGCTAAGATGGCAGGTATGCAAAGTATCATATTGGTGAGCTCAGCCACCCAGAAGGGAGATGCTTGCCGACCAGGGGCTCCCTGGGATGCTGAGTTATTGGTGTGTTCTTCTCTGCAGTGCTACAACCTGCCAGTGTTCTGGATGTCCATGGCCGATGCATTCTACCAGAGTCTCATCTGTTTCTTTATCCCTTACCTGGTGAGTCCCATCCTCGACATATAAGTCATAGTGTGAAATTGGTCGTAGGTATACAAAATCACAGACTGGTAGTGCCATTTACATACATCATGGCAGAGACTCTCGATTAGTAGCTAGGCACATCCAACCCAAGGTGTTTGAGAAGACCGAACACTTTATGCAAAACTTCGCTTCTGGGTCTCTTGAGAAACCAGAAGCTGTGACACTGGGAAAACAGTACAGGGTTGATTCGTGGCCCGGCTTAGATAAGGATTGTACTCTCAGAGAGCATGGTGTCTGACTTCCTCTGCCTTCGCATCTTCCTGCAGGGGCCCCTTCTCTATGCATGCCATATGCTGGATACTCTCACCTTTCAACTATATCATGTTTGTAATTCTCCTTTCTTCTGAGGTGACTACAAAGGATTTGGTCCAGCCTCCCAGGGAGAGGAGGCACCTTTGGGCAGGATGATGTCTTCTGCTTCTTATTTTCTATAGTTCCTGCCCTGGACCTGAGAGCATTGATTTTCTATTGCTGTGATAAAATACCATGACCAAAATTAACTTGATGATAGGAAAGGACTTTTTCAGTGTGATCACTTCCCTTCAGTGATCACAACCCATCACTGAGGGAAGTCAACCAGGAACTCAAGGGAGGAACCTGAAGGCAGGAATGGAAACAGAAGCCACGGAGGAAATTTGCTCACTGGCTTGCTCCTCTTTGCTTGATCAGCCTGCTTGTTTTGTTTTTCTAAACAAGGTTTCTCTGTGTAGCCCTGGCTGTGCTGGGACTCACTCTGCTGACTAGGCTGGACTTGATCTCAGAAATCTACCTGCTTCTGCCTACCAAGTGCTGGGATTAAAGGCATGCGCCACCATCACTTAACAGCCTAATTTCTTATAGCAACCAGGACCACCTGCCCAGGAATAGCGCCCTCCCACATCAATCATTAGTCAAGATAATACCCCCACAGACTTGCCTACAGGACAATCTTATGAAAGCATTTTCTCAATTAAGATTCCTTCTTCCCAGATATGTCTAACTAAGTTCATGTGAAGTTGACAAAACCCAACCATCATACTGTCCACTCCTAGGCTTGACCTCTGTTTGACTGTGATTTCCTTTATTATAATCTAGTCTCAGTTGATAAAGCCTCGGCATGCTACAAGGGCATCTAAGAGGAATGAGTGCTATAAGGACTGAAGTATACAGAGCCATCTGGCCTGCCCAATAGACCACAAACTTCTTAAAGGTAGACACACACACCCTCAGCAATCAGTGCAGTGCCTGGAGATGCTCAAGAAAGCCTTTGTTCACCCATTCCACAGTGATTTTCCAAACTTCACCAGAACCAACACGTTCCTAAGCAATTTAATCCCATCCACTCATTTCTCATCTTGTCAGCTCCTTGAATCAATCCCTTCTTTTCTCCTTTCTTTTCACCATATTCCTTCCCCTGCCTTGACTCCCAGCTTCATTGTATTGAACACATAGCCTTGAATCCATGCAAGACCAGGTATGCCTACTTGACAGTGCCCATTTGTTCTTCCTCCTTAGACCTACCGAGGTTCAGATATAGATGTCTTTACCTTTGGAACACCAATCAACACCATCTCGCTCACCACCATCCTCTTGCACCAGGCAATAGAAATGAAGACATGGGTAAGGATCCCACGGGCCATTTAGCTTAAAAATCATATTCTTGTTCATTGACTGAACTCAAATTTGCAAGTTCTTTTACTCTACATAGTTGATCTAGCTCAGTAAGCCCATGAGTCTCTCACTTCACCCCTATAAAGCAGTGGAATTCGCAAAGATGCTAGCATTGCTGGCCTCAGCCTCCAGCCATCATGACAAGAGTAATACCCATAAAGCAATGAGACAGTTCCAAAACCAGATGTATACTGATGAAGAATTCAGGAGCACTGCAGTGATAGGAAAGTCTAGCCTGAGTACAACTAAAACTGTGTATACATGGCTATTATTCATTTAACTCAGTTACCACATATCAAGCACTCCCAAATATCATATTTTAAAATCTTAAATCACAAAAGGCAGGCTGAGGAAGTGACTTAATCAATAAGGTGGGGACCTGAGTTTGATGCCCAACACACACACACACACACACACACACACACACACACACACACACACACACAAGTTAGACATGGTGATTGAGTATACCTATAATTCCAGTGCCAAGAAAGTAGAAATAGGAAGATCTGTGGAGCTGGTTGGCTAGCCATTCCAGCTGAATCAGTGAGCCCCATGTTGAGGGAGAGACCCTGTCCCAAAAAATAAGATTTGAGGAAGTTTGAGGAAAACAGATACCAAAATCAACCTCTAGCCTCTACAACCACCCACACACATCATGCATAGAGAAAGAACAAGCTCTCTCACTGAGTTTTGTTAATCAATAACTCTAAAGAGCTCAAAATTATATGCAACATATTAATCTACGTGATTTACGTACATTACCTCATTTAACTTTACTATGTCCTTGGTGTTAGATTTTTGTTTTTGTAACCCCGTTTTACAGATTTAGAAACAGATGTAGCAAGGTTAAGAAATGTGCCCCAAGTAGCTCAAACTATAAGTGAGTTTTGAGCTCTGTCATTCTGATCTTTGAACTTTTAACCACTTTGCTGGCAATACAAAGTCATACATCAAGATCACAGTAATGTCTGTTTCTGAAAGCTTATACTAAAACTTTGAAAATACCTCCAAGTAGGCTCAACGCATGGCTACATTCTGCCATGAAACTTACCCCCTTCCGCCATCACAAGCTCAGTAAGAGGTACCAAGAGAACCTCTGGGTCTGGGAGGTCTCATCCTGGAAAATCTTGTTCTCTAATGTGTACCAGGGACAACAGAACAAAGCGATAAGCCTGGCTATGCCTCTTTTGTCCTACATTCATGTTCTTTGTGGAGCATCAATACCAGAAGAGGCTATGACACAATGGAGAAGAGGTCAGGTACATCATGCTTTCTAGAAGGCAGGACACAGATATGCCAGTGGGGAGTCTGGCTCCTGTGTCGTAGGGGGCTCTAGAGCTCCATTTAGTGCTGGTCCAATTGTCTCTACCCTACAAAGCAAGCTATGGAAAAATATGGTATTGACAAGCTCCTGGGGTATAGATATATCAGAAACAGTGAGCAAGGGATGTAAGAGTCAAAGATCCTTTGATACTAGGAACTGAGGCCAGCAGGGAAAACTTTTAGAACTCTCCCAAATGAAAAAAATTAGCATTGAAATTAAAAGTACAGTCTGGGGAATTCATTCTAGATCAGACAGCATGAAAAGAAAAGAAAGGAGGAGAGCTACCAAATTGGTAAGTAGAATTAGAAACTCATGTGGAATCACAAGTAATAAAAAGTTATTAACAGGAATGTTAGTTGAAAAAAAAATGACTCCAATGTCTCCACCAAAGGAGTCACAAAATGGGGGAAAGGGTAAATAAGCAATATTTGAAGAACTAAACATTCAAAAAATCAAAATACAGCTGGCTATACCACTTAAATGTGAAGAGTAAAACTGTACAAGACCAAAAAAAAAAAAAAAAAACAGAGATGGACTTAAAATCTGTTAGTGATTTTGGGTAATTCCAGTATAATTCCTACTGGAACTTGCCCAAAAGACCAGTAGTTAGTGAGACCAAAGCAAAAACTGCTCAAAAACAAAGGCTTCATTATCTCAAAGACCTGAGGGGAAACAACTGGAGCAGCTGTGTGTGTACACGGGCCTGTTAGTGTCTCTAACTAACCCACACTTATTTTGCCCCTTAAAATTAATGACATTTTCAAATAAACTATGAGATTTATCATTCACTAGGAAAAAGGAATATACCAAATTTGGCAAAAATATTCAAAAACAATAGGTAATTGGTTTGGATAAGAAAATAGAAATATTTGACTGTGCATTTTTACAGGAATCCTCATTTATTTAGTATCTTTAACTTTGGCCTAATCACTAAAGGGCTAGAAAAAGGATAGAAGACTTATCTTTATCAGTTCTTCAGAACATAAGGAAGATGAGAAAACTAAAAGCAGGAAAAGATGTCAATCAAACATAGAAAATAAATACTAGCTTTTTTCATTGGTAAATAAAACAAGAAATGCATAAAAATCTCATGCTATGTGAAATTTGCTCAACTCTAACAGAAACCGGCACAGAACACATCTGAACAACAAATTAGAAACAGTCATCAAGAAGCCAGAGAAAGGGCTGGAGGGATGGCTCAGCCGTTAAAGGCTAGGCTCACAACCAAAAATATAAGAAGCCAGAGAAAACCTTACATATTTTGATACTCCAAAAGCCACTTCTAAATTGCACATGAAATAAAAAGAATATCATGATGAACAAGAATCTCTTGCTGAAGACTAAAAAAACATGACATATGGTTTGCTTTAAGAGCATGGCTGCCGGTAAGTCAAAAAAATCAGTATGTGGACCCAAGTGAACTCCCTAGAACTCCAGTAAAACCACACCCCAGCAATGCCACTGAGGGGAGGACACAAAACCACAGTAGCAAGGAAGATGATGACAGTGGTATTTAAAGTTTACCAAAGCATAGTCAAGAGCAACTCAAGAATAAGCTAATCCTTTCCCAAAACATCAGCTCCAGGGATTATAAAGTAAGTTTGACCAAACTTAACATTTCTATTTTTTAACCTTATTTTTTTAGTTCATGAAAAAAAAAGAGAGAGAGAGAGACTTGTCTTCTTGGACTATCATGCTACTATAACAAAATATTTGATTACAAACAAAAGGACTTTCTCAGGTTTCTGGAAGTCCAAGATGTAGGGACAGGCAACTTGCATTGGGGACAGGAAGTTAGGGAAGGAATAGTATCTAACTCCTGTATTTCCAAGATGGCTTGCTTTTGGTGGAGTTCTAGACAGGGGAGGCAGCCCAAAATGGGTGCTGTGTTCTTACATTATAATGGCAGAAGATTCCCTCAAACCTCTTTTATAAATCCATTATTTGCACAAAGCTCTTGTGACTCAGATGCTTCCCCAAGCATCCTACCTCCCTCTGGTCTCACATAGGGCCTTAGGTACCCATAGGAAGCTGAAAGGCACACCTACGTTCAAATGACAGTTACCTGTATTCCATGGCTAGAGTAATTCTGATGCCACATGAACATAGGCAGTCCAAGGAAATAAAATCATGCAACTAAAACATTCTGTTTGGGAAAATCTGCTCAACATTATGTTAAAGGTGAAAAAGTACAACCATGAAACATTCATATCCTCTTTGCAGACTACAAACCAATGAAAGACTAGAGCAGTGGTTCACAACCCATGGGGCACAACCCCTTTGGGGTTCAAATGACCCTTTCACAAGGTCACCTAAGACCATAGGGAAACAGACATTTACATTACAATTCACAACAGCACGAAATTACAGTTATGAAGTAGCAACAAATATCATTTTATGGTTGGTGTCACCACAACATGAGGAACTGTATTCAAGGATCTTGCCATTAGGAAGGTTGAGAACCACTGTTCTAGAGGGTGATTTTTTAAAACAGCTAGAAAAAATTTAAGTACCCACAGGCCATGAGAGAATTTCACTTCTAAGTTTTCACCCCACAAATAATAATGATAAATAATTTTGCATGTGTGTAGGGAGACACACAAAAATGTTTGCTGTAGCAGCATTGTTTTTAATAGTATATATATATATATATATATATATATATATATATATGTATATATATATACTAGCATATATATGTGTCTGTAATATGTATATTACAGAAAGCCTAAATGTTCATCAGTGGTAACATTCACAGTGGTATATTTGTGCAACCAAATACATGTAGTCCCCAACTTAGCAATAGTTTGACTTACATTTCTGTTTTATTATGTTTTCATTTTATTCTATGCTGGTACCAACACCACACATGTGGGATGCAAGCTGTCCTTCCAATGTTGAATTTAGATCTTTTCCTGAGCTGGCAACACATGGTGGGATATTCTCCTGAGGCGCCTGCAGAGCTAAGCCTGGCAGCCTGTTGTCAGCCTTGCAATCACAACACAAACAACCCATGCTCTGTGCTACACTGCCAGGCTGTGACACTCGGAGGGTTAGCTATAATCTGAAGCATTTATGAGTTACAGTATTTTCTACTTACAACAGGTTTGCAAGGCCTAACTCTGTTATGAGTCAAAAAGCTTCTATGGTTAAAATGAACAAGCTAGAGATAGACCATCTGTGTAAACATGGCTCCCAAAGTGTTGTGTGAAAGAAACCGCTGAGTTACCTCAGTTTGCTTGGCGTCATAACAAATGCCGTTCATGGTGTAGCTTAAATAGGAAAATGTTATGTATTACCATTCTTGAGGTTAAAAGTCCAAAGTCAGCATCCTGGTCCAGACATTGTCTGGGGAGAACCTTCATTCCAGGCTGTAGACAGCTATCTTTTATTGCATATCCCTGGAAGGAAGAGAAAGAAAGGTATCTTCTTTTGTGCTTCTTATGAGGGCACTAAGTTCATTCATGGGGAACTCCTAAAATTATCTCTACAAAGCCCCATTTTCAAATACTATCAATTGAGAGTTTTAACATAGAGACTCAGGAGTCGACACAAACTTCTAATCCATAAGCCAAAGGGATACATTGGTATGATAAAAAAAAAAATGTATCCATAAAAAATGTATGTGTATACAGCATAGCTGTATAGACATGTACAAAACTTCCCTAAAAGTAGATAAGCAGGCCATTTACAAGAGATATATGGTTACTTTTAATTGTATCTATAAGGTTTAGTATGCTTGAAATATTCCCCTCAAATTCTACTCTCCAGAATGCTCTTAACTATTACATTTTTTTAAATAGAATTTTAAAAGCTGAGTCAGTTCTCCCAAGCCAGCTAGGTAGAGCAAATACAGATGTTTGATCTATTAAACTGCTGTGTTCTGTGAGTGCTTAATATGTGTGTGTGCCTCTTCAAAAAGGTTGGAAGCAAAGCCTAACTAAGCTATGTGCATTTGGCTGTCCCTTAATCTAATCGGAACTTCCAACAGCATCTTCTTTGTCCCCTCCACAGACTGTCCTCCATGGCCTTGTCCTCCTCGGCAGCTTCTTGATGTACTTCGTCGTCTCCCTGATATACAACGCCACTTGTGTCACCTGCAACAGCCCCACCAATCCCTACTGGGTGATGGAAAGGCAGCTCTCAGATCCCACATTCTACCTCATCTGCCTCCTCACACCGGTTGTGGCTCTTCTACCAAGGTCTGAGCTCTTGGGCAATGCCCTTTAAATTCCCAGTCTCCACAAATTCCCACAGCCCAAGGGTATTAGTTATACTTCTCACTGCTGTGAGAGATGATTGGCAAAATCAAGTTCAGGAAGGAGGGTCTTGTTTTGGCTTGCAGTTTAAAGGCAGCCAGTCAGTGGCATTGCACCCACGCTCAGGGAGCAGAGAGGAGTGAATGCTGGTGCCCAGCTCACTGTCTCCTCATAACCCAGGGATAGCCCACATTCAAGGTTGCTTTTTTTCTCCTCTGCTAAACCTTCCTAGAAACACCCACCCACGCAGATATACCCAGAGGTGTGTTTCTTCATAACGATTCAAAATCAGTAAAGTTGACTGGAGCTTTAAGATTGCAGTCCAGAGACTGAGGTGCTGGGATAAAAGAACAATAAGACAGAGGGTAAATAATATGGACTCTGGTCCCAGGTCAGCCATAGAGAAGCAAAATGTCCCCCCATGGTGACATATGTAATATGGGAGGAATCATTCTACCTCCCTGGCTTAGAAATTGTCTTGTGTGGTAAGGGAGCATTTTTTTAAAGCTCTGTAATCCTTTGCTATTAGTGAGGGAGTCACACACCCCAGTGCCTGGAGGACAGGGAGCAGTCCCCACAAGCCACATGAAGTGCACACAAAGAACTTCCTGTCATCACAGGAAAGAACTGAGAAGCAGAACTTCAGATTTCTCTCAGAAATTTTAAATTTTTCATAAAATAGCCAACATTTTAATATCACTTAAGTTTAAAACACATGTGTAACATTCATGATCGCATACTATTTTCTGACATTTCCAGCCTAAAAACCTCTGCTTTCACAATTTCAAGGAAAATACCAGCAATATTAGTGCTTTTCTGTGTAACTCATGGTTGATACACATTGTACAGTCTCAACGCCCCTTTTTTTTATCAGCCAAGTAGTAGGCAGAGCTAAGGTTCTGGTTCATGAAACAGCTGAAGGCCTAAGTCCCCAGATGTGTCCGTGTTACCAGTACAAACCACAGTGGGAGCAAGGTTCTCCTGACTGAAAACCCAGCCCCATAGTTGGAGATTTTTGTTTTGTTTTGTCTCTTGATTTTGAAGGTAAGCAACTGTGGTCATCATGGCCAGAGTGAGCTTTTTGAGTCCATATATTATTTGGAAACTAGAAAAGAATTCATGAGCCCAGTGTTCTTCCTTAGAAAAAAAAGCTTGGAGCCAGAGTCTTACAAGGCAGCTTAATAAAGGCCCTTGAAACATGTGCAAAGACTGTTGACACATGTGGAATGAACAGATGGGCATCAGTTTGACGGCTTGCTGAACAGATGAGGAATGAGTTGAGGAAATGTTAGCAAATATGTACTTGCTAATGACCATAGTATACAGTCCAAATCTTTGCTTATTCTATATTATCACCACAAAGTTGAATTCCCATTTAATTCTATTTACTAAGGTCACAGGGATTTCTTCTGATAATGAAGGGATTATTTCCATAGTTGTAAGGACTTCTGACTTACAACCTTGGCATAATTCTTGTTTGTTTATAGAAATCCACATGATAGAATGTTTGCTGTAGAAAACTGTTTCTGGCTTAAAGTTGAAAGTCACATTTCTCATAATGGGCAGTGATCTTACTCACCAATCTTGTGATAAGTAGACCACTAATCTTAGTCAAGTTAATTCACCCCACACAAAAGGACAGTGCAAAAATCCCTTCAACTAGAAGCATAGATGTATGCAAACTATTTTAGAGACTTAAAAACAGATTAGCATACCAAGTTTAAACCCTAGGGCATCCTCTTAATCCTTTTAATTAGTAGTAGCGAATAGTAACAGTTTTAGGGCTTAGTAAAAGTCCTTGACTTTTTATGACCTATGCATTCTTGGACTCTCTTCCCACTTCTTTCTTTCCTCTGCAACTCACACCCTAGATACAGTGAGTTTCAAGCCTTCCTCCCAGGTTTACTGGTCTCCTACCATTGTATTTTTCTCCACAGACCCAGAAATCACTGTTCTGAATTGAAAGAACTTTCTTAACAGATGCTTCCCAGCACAGGCCTCTCCTTGATTCCAGCTACATTTCTCTAGTTTAGTCTATCAACTGCACTTGGCATATTTAGTCTAAGAAAAGCAGAAAGCACTTACAACTTTACGCACCAATTCACCCTCCTCAAATCTCAGTCTCTTCAGAGTTCCCTTCAGCTAATGCCAGGGCCCAGGTCACCCTCTGTCTGTTATCCTGTGGCTGCATATCCAGAGTTTGCACTGCAACAAGTCAACACCTCTACCTGTGGTATATTTCTCAGATACGTTCACAATTTCCATTTCTAAAGCTGCCATCATAAACAGTATACTCCCGAGACCCCAGATTACATAATTTGTCTCCAGTTAGGACTTTTCTCACTATCCATTATTAATGTATCGAAGTCTGATCTAGCCATCCATTTGTCAGCCCCCAAAGACTTCCCTGGGTCTTTACAATCAAATAGGAAATCCAAACCATGACCCACAGTCCTTGCCTGCTCTAGTCCTTCCACCCCCGTCTTGGATCTACCCCTCACTTTCACACTTGAGCTGCTTGGCCTGGGTTTTGTTTCTCATCCCTGTGTCTGACTGTTCTGACCCTCATCCTTCTTCAAGGATGGTCTTCAGATGAGACCAGGCACTTAACCTTCTCTCTTTCCATAACTGAACTCTTGTGGAACAAGCAAGTAGGAGTTCCCCCTTGTTCAAAGCTTACTCCTCTAGGTAGGGCCTGACTGTTGTGGAGACTTGACACACAGTTGTCGAATGGAGGATGGAAAAGAAAGGCAGTGTCCTGGGTGAGAGATTGGCACTAAGGAAATTTCAGTTTCCAGATAAGAAGTCCAATCTTTCCTGAAGCATATACACGGTTCCCTATTTACTCTCTGGTGTGGTAAAAATGAGGGAAATTTTATCTGCACTGCTAGGATCTACTACAGTCTTCAGAAAACCCTTGCCCCCTGTGGGTTCACCATGCAACTTTCAAATATAACAAAATAAGAGTCTCTGCTTACAAGTCTTTAAAATTAACATTGTAAAATGTCTCTAAAGCCAGATGGTAGCTTTTTAGATAACACTCAGAAAAGGAAATGTGGATGGCCTATGATACATGATAGTTAACCTTCTCACCCCTCCACTTGCCAAAATTTGGATCCAGAAGATGAATTTAGAGTCTCCCACAGGCTACATGCAGCTTGGCAGGAAAAAGGCAAGGGAGAGTGAGCTACTGAGATCTCAGACCTTTTCAGACCTTGGCAGAATCACCTCAGCATACTGCTGTAAGGGTTTTTTGGTGAAAGAGTATCCTGGTGATCACAGGGCTAAGAAATGCTGCAAAAATCATTCCACACAACAGACCTCACCTGGGGGTGACAGCTTCCTCACTGGGCAAAGGGTAATTATATAAAGTTACACACACACACACACACACACACACACACACACACACACACACACAGATGCATACATAGTAGATAAGAGACTAGCTTATAGATCTAGATTTCTTGGGTCTGACCATAACTTCATAGTGGACAGAGAACTGGATTCATTTTCACATCTGTACACAAAAGGAAACAAAAGTACAGTTATGCATTGTGTAGACACTCTAACACATGAGAAACACAGCATCAGACAATTTCATCATAGGACAAACAACACCAAATACACTCACATAAAAGTAAGTTGGCAATGTCTCCAAGTGACTGAAGCATGTGTGCCTTATTGTGGGTCAAAAACAGCCTCATGGTCCTTGACTGTGCCAAGCACATGGATTTTTGAGAGAATGAGTCCACAATCAGCAAAGGTCCTTGAACAGTCCTGGTACAGAATAAGCATTAACTGTTATGTTTTGTTCGTGTTACCATGCTGCCTCCATCTCCAGAGGCAGCCACCCTTAGCTTTGAGAGTGATCACTCAGTACAACAAAGACAATGTCACCCTGGGAGAAAAGTTCTAAGAGCCCTTTCAATGTTGAAATTTTAAGGCATCAACAACTCAAAAACTATCTTTATTCTTTTACTTCCTACTAGGTACTTTCTCCTGTCTCTGCAAGGGACGTTCGGGAAGTCTTTAATCTCAAAAGCTCAGAAAATTGACAAGCTGCCCATAGACAAAAGAAACCTTGAAATCGAGAACTGGAGAAGCAAACAGAGACCTACCCCTACCCTTGCCTCTGCCCCTGCTTCTAGCCCTGCCCATGCTCAGCCCCCATGCCATACAGTACCACCTACACGACAACAGGACTTAGGAACCAGCACCCCAAAGAACTCTAGCCCTCCCAGGCAGAAGCACACTGAAGACTGGGTTCTCCAGGGTCCAAGATGCAGCAGAGAATTTTCGAGGGATGACACATGTTCAGGAGACACCTTGGCTAAACTCTCATCTGGGCAATGCCTTCTGGGCCCAAACAGAACAGCGGCTCCCACAGCCTATACCAGGGGACAGAAGGATATGGCTCGTAACTCAAGCAAAGGCAGTCATCGCCGGTCTCAGAGTTCGCTGACTATTTGAGGGGGCTACAGAAATCAGAGCTTGATCCAAACTCAGAAGAGGCCACCCCAATCACTGACAAGTGACCCTAGTCCCCTTCCTCTCTGTAGAGGAATGACTGCCAGTTTTATCAATTCTCCTCACCAGGGTTGACTTCCTTCAGGAAATGCTGGCCCCAGAGGAGCGGAGCAAAACTGACTTTGGCTTTCTTCTGCTGCCAGGCAGCACATTTTGAAAACAATAGTCTGGATCCAGATGTTATGAGGTTGTTGCATTGTGTTCCAAAGTTTTAGCCCAAGCACATCCTTGTGCGCTTCTAAATGAGTAAAGCCTATGAGCCCAGTGCAATCCGGCAGCAAGTATCCAAGACTCCAACCAGTGTTATAAATCTTTGAAATTATCAGAATATGGGAGTTACTCGGCTTGTCAAGCCATCACCTCACCTCACCCGAGAGTTCAAGTTTCAGAAGAGACCTGCGCACACAACAGCTTCATCTCAAGGTCACTGCAGTACCAAGTCATGGATAACACCCCTTCCATGAACAGAGTTGGGTCTGCTTCCTTCCTCTAAGCCAGTGGTTCTCAACCTTCCTACTGCTGCGACCCTTTAATACAGTTCCTCATACTGTGGTGACCCCAACCATAAAATTATTTCATTGCTACTTCGTAACTGTGATTTTGCTACTGTTATGACTTGTCATGTAACTATCTGATATGCAGGCTATCTGACATGCAACCCCCCCCCCAAGGGATTGTGACCCAGGTTGAGAACCACTGCTCTAAGCCAAAGAAAACTATATCTAAAGATGAAAATGGCATTAAATGGGATTTATGTGCAGAACAGATACTACCAACTGCTGTAAGGTTACAACTCATGTAAGAGGCAGGAAGATTATACATACTAAAGATTTTCCACTAATGGACCACATGCCCCACCATCTGAGGAATATTCCTAAAGTACACAGCATTCTCTTCCTAAAACTACTTATTTATTTGGAAATAAAATTGCCCGTCCTCATTCAACTCTTACAGTGGGAGATACCAGGAATAAGATCTTATCCCAGCTTCCTGCAAAAAGAGGCCCATATGACAGAGCAACTAGGAATGCAAAGTGGCATCTTCAAGTTTAAAACCTACACTAATCAGCTTATGCCAGAATGCCATGGCCATCCATTGGCCCGTGATTCAGCTAAGGTCAGCAGTCATGGGGAAAGAATTCTATGTGCTTCATATCCCTAGAAATTGTAAATGCTAGAAATGTTGAAGAGCTCAAAGATTTCTATAAAAGGCTGGATGACAGTTTTCAAAGGCTGTCAAGATAAGCTAGATCTGCTGTGACCAGCAATGGTCTATTCAAGTCTTCAAAGTCAAGTCAAGGAGTGTTCTTTGCCCTAGTCTCCTTAAGGCAGTGCCTACACATTAAAAGTCCAAGGATAGGCAAACTGTAACCTTTGTACCCAAGTCATCACCACGAGCCATGAGTTGGCCTGTCACTTAATTTCTCAGCAATGATAATAAGAGCAAGCTCAACAATCAAGATGGCAAATGGCAGAGTGAGCGGACTCTCTGTTCATCCTTGTGGAAAACAAAGACTGGAGGAGCCATTTGGAGGATCATCTCTGCCATGTAATGATGCCAGCATGAGCCAAAAGGTGGGGACTTGATTATCCTACAGAAAAAATGATATGGCCATAAGGAGGTGTGGGATGAAAGATGAATAAGCAAACATGGATTGTTCCAAGTAAAGAGATTCATCAAAACTTGGATTTCACCTCCTTTTACCTATGAGACTCCTGCCTACTGCCAATAGTCAGAAATCCTCAGTAATATATTCTAGAAAATAACAGAGCATTGGCTCCAGTGGATTGGAGTTTAAGTGTTTGCTTTTCCCTGTAGCCTTTAAAGGACCTTGAAGCAGGTCACCATGCTTGCAAATTAAGTTTAAACAGCTCTACCTCCTGGAATCAAGATCGAGTCCAAATTGCATACAGTGCACTGATGAGGCTTTCAAAAAGCAGGTAGTCCTTAAGACCAGAGAGAGTCTCACTTCAGAGAGAAAGGAAGGGATGGGAAGCTGAAAGAAAATGTGACACCCCTGCCCTTACCGAAATCCATGCTCAGCACAGCATTCAGACGCTGCTCTTTCTTGCCTGACCGATCATGTCAGTTTGCCTGGGATGATCCCATTTTTACCGTTTCCCACATGCTGGGGAGCCTGGGCCATCTGGTCACAAGTGGTCACTTACTTTTGCCACTCTTTGTGGTCCAAACCAAACCAAACCAACAGTGTGACTGTCTGATGTGCCACCTTCCTCAGAGGGAAGCTCTACACTCCCTCTATAATGTAATGCTAGTGATGGTATGTAGTATATGTTATATGTGTATAATCTTTTTACTGATTGACTGGAAAAATGTCACCTTTTGTTTTTTAGAAAGAAAAATAAACTTGGTTTTTCCACAGTTCTCAGCCGATCTGAAATCCTTATTATTCTTCCTATATATTATCATTACTGATCCTGAATATTTATTCATTCACTCATCCTTCTTTGCATTTACCCATTCATTTATCTATCCAAGAAACTTCAGTAAGTCCCTATTAAATAATTTGAAGGGCAACATGGACCGTGAAGGAATCAATACCTGTCCTCACCTACCTTCCCAAGGCTCATGGCATTAGGAATATTTAACCCAGTATGAGAGTAGAGCACAAACTATGTCTATGGGCTGGAAGAATTGGAAACGGTGCATACAACACTTACATTCAGGAACTCTAACCCAACTTTTTCTCTCCTGCAAGTCTAGCACATACCCAGAACCCAGGCTGACTTGGTCATCTCTGTCATTTCATTGTAAATGTGAGTGATTACAGCACAAACATGAGGATCTGAGTTCAAATCTCTAGTACCTACATTAAAAAAAAAAATCGATGGGTAGCGAAATACACCTATAATCCCAATATTATGGCAGAGGGGTGGGCACAAATGAGAGGATCTTTAGGACTTGGTGGCTGCAAGCCTAGGTTTAGTAAGACCCTGTTTCTAGGCATAGGGTGGTAGAAGATGAAACCCCAATCTCCTCTGGCCTCCATGTGAACAAATATCACAGAGAGAGAGAAAGAGAATAAATAAAATGATCAGTGTGACTAGAATTCACACATCAGAAAGAAATGGCCTGGGATTATGTTGACCTAATGACTACAGGGTTAGTTTACTGGTCTAAGCCTGCGTCACCACCTAACCCCACAGCAACCCTCCAGGATAAAGGCTTATCTATCCTAGCACAGTAGCTTCAACTATACCACAGCTCCCTCAAAGCTCCATGCATTGACCTCACCCTTCCTTTGTCCAATGTCAGTGGAGCTCACATGTGTCTGGGACCCAAGCTGAAGGATTGGGCTCTCACCCCCTGCAGGGTCTCTCATCCTCAAGAAGGCCAGCTAGGCCTTGGCACATGGCTCCAGAACTGGGAAAAAAGAAAGCTGTAAAACCTCCTGCATTCTATGCTGAGAACTTGTATACTTGCTAACCATCATGGCCATAGAAGCAAGTCACAAAATCAGCCCTGTTTCAAGAATGTGGGGAAGTGCACTCTACCTTTTTGTGAGAGGCATTGTAAAGAAACTGAATGTCATTTGCAGCTATCCATCCCCACCTAGTAGAGGAAGGAAGTGAGGTGAAGAGAAGTCACATAAAGATTATAACAGTACCACTGTTATAATGGTCAGGTGGTACTCTAACCATGGGAGTCTGAAAGCAGAGGCCGTGTGTATGCTTAGCCGGAGACACACGACTCAAGGTAAGACCAGAGGGCAGATAGGGACCAGAACCAGACAACATTCTCTGGAGAGGCAGGGTTTCACAGTGGGGTGGGTGCCTGAATTTCATCCCAACTCGGACACAACCTAGCAATATGACCCAAGGAAAGACCATCCCACACCATGTCGATCCAGGTTGCAGCCCAAACAAAAGTAAGTCTAAAGCCAGCATTTAGGGGGAACCTCAGTTACTCCTTACACTACCATACAATATCTCCCCAGTGGCCCTCCTCCACTCTAGACTGAGCACCTACCCAGGCTGATCCATGTGGAACCCTTTCCTCTGGAAGCCTTCTAGTGCCACCTAGCAGGATAGAAAGAGGTACTGCACCTGAGAGGGCTTCGGACAGTGAAATTCTCCTGACAACAATAAGATGGGCTGTAACTAAGTACTCGAGGCCAGATTTCAAGTCTTGGTGGTATGGTTTCCATGGTGACTCTAAACAAATTCAAGGGTTTTATTTTTCCTCTGAAACTATTAATCTCAGATTCCCCAAACTCTTAAGTTGGGCCCTCTTGGTTCTAGAAGCTGTTTGGGGCAGTTGTTTATGGTCTAGGAATATCCTCTGACAGCTCCCAAGCCTGTGGTTTACTATCTGTGCATCTGTATGAGTCTGTATAGCATGCACACATAAACACAAAAATGGAAAAGCCCATTTAAAAAATACACACACACACACACACACACATTAGTTTCCTGCTGTGCCCCTGGTGTTTGGAATATGGCATCACATGACAACAGTGTGAGGCTACCATTGGAGAAATCATGAGTGGGATGGGTTTTTAGGGATTGAGTGAAGCTGGGAAGGCATCAACCCTTTGGGGAAGGGTTAAAAATCTCCCAATCCCTTTGAGACCTAGGTTGGCTTTTTCAGATCAATAGATAGGTGTTGAGAAACTGTTGCGCAAGGGGACCCTTAATGAACTGCCAAGGCAGTCATCACTTTCAACTGTCAAGAGGGAAGCCAAAGCAAACACATACATATTTTTCTTTACATAGGTTCTCAGGCAACTAAGGACCAGGCACCTCCATCAACACTACCATCCAACCCTAATAAACATGGTTGCTTACTATGTAAGTAAAGCACAGAGCCAATATTCCTATGCCCCTCCAAGCAGAGCACTACCTCAAAGACATACCTCTGTGGACAGTTAAACGGTCACTGTCTTACAGCAGTCTGTAAGAGAGGTTCACCCCTCACAGGGAAGCCTGAGGAAAGGTAACCCAGGCACAGAAGGATCCTCAGAAACAATTGCAAAGAGGCTAGCCAAGAAGACACTTGACTGAAGTTTAAAGAAAGCATTTTTCCTACATTTTTGAACCAATGATTTTAATTAGGATTAGTTACAGGAGCATGAAGGGGTATTTTTAAAACCACCTTGCCAGTAGCTACAATGCTGAATAAAATCTCACCCTTACCCAGCGATCATAATTAATCTACGGATCTTCAGAGAAGGATGGGACCATGTCTTAGTGAAGAGACATCATGACCAATGCAACTGATAAAGCATTTAATTGGGGCTAGCTTACAGTTTCAGAGGTTTAGTCCATTTTCATCATAGTGGGAAGCATGATTGCACACACAGTGCTGGAGCAATAGCTGAGAACTACATTCTGACCCATAGACCAAGAGAGAGAATATGAGCCTGGCATGGGCTTTTGAAACCTCAAAGCCCACCCCCAGTGACATGCTTCCTCCAACAAGGCCACACCTCCCAATCCTTTTCAAATAGTGCCATTCCCTAATGACTAAACATTCAAATATATGAGCTTATGGCGGCCATTCCTATTCAAATCACCACAAGCTTTATTGAGCTCTTCTGGCTCATAATGTTAAGGGGCCTAGTCTTGCACAGGTATTGGGCAGGTAATAGAAAATGTTTTTCTTTAGGGTCAACAGCCATTTCTACTGCAGCTAACCTGTTTATTCCCACAGGCAAAAAGTTGCTATTGCATGCCAATGATGAAACCCAAGTGAGAGATAAGTAACCATGTCCAGGGTCATCCAAAACTATGTAAGCAAAGCTAAGATCAGACTTGTGCCCTACTGACACTCATCTTCAACCATTTCATCAGCCAGAAAGAAAATACCAATGCTTTCCATAGTAGTTTGCATGTTTTAAAGGATACCCTCACACAGACATGAATGCAGGCAAAAACCTATGCATATTTTAAAAAAAAGGCTGTTATACCAAATGGGTAGAATGAGAAAATATAAAGTCACATGATAGATGTGTGAAGAGAAATCTGTCTGACCATGGGGTCTGTAGTGCTTTGAATAAGGATAGCCCCCATAGGCTCATATATCTGAACACTTGGTCCACAGTTGGTGGCAGTGATTGAGGAGGTGTGGACTTGCTAGAGAAAAGTATTCACTGTGGGTGGACTCTGACAGTTCATAGCCTGTATTTCCAGTTGCCTGATTCTCCTTTGTGCCTGCACTTGAGGATGTGATCCCTCAGACTCTTGATCCAACTACATACTTGCGTTCTGCCATGCCTCCCCACCATGATGAACCCTTCCCTCCAGAACCATATGCCCAAACAAATTCTTCTATCTATAAGTTGCCTTGGTCACAGTGTTTCATCACAGCAACAGAAAGATAGCTAACATAGGGTCTTTCTAGAACGTATCTGTTTGCAGATGTGTGTTCCGGGGGCGGGGGGATGGACTATACCAGGTAAGGGCATCTTTCAGACTTCCCTTTTCCTGCTTGCTGAGGCAGAAATGAATTCTAAAGCCCCATCGAGTGCTGCTGTTGAGCCCCAATTCTGCCCTCAGAAGAAATCTCTCTCTCACTTTCTGTCTCTCACTCTCATACACACACACACATACACACACACACACACACACACACACACACACACACACACACACACACTTTTGTACTTTTACTGGATGTATAAAACACATACATAAATATAAGCATAAGCATGCCCTTTGTTCTCCCATTTATGCAAGACTTACAGTCAAGAAAATCAAGAGTCCTAGGCAACATGATACTCACTAAGACTCTAGCCAAGGCTGCCCCCTTTTAAAGAGCAAGAAGCAAAGTCCCAAAAAGAGGATGAAGAAGAACCACCTCTGATTCTCAGTTACTCCATGAACTTTCCCCACAGTGGCCCATTGGAACATTCCAAAGTAAGATTTTATACCACCCTCCTGGCCCACGATCAGTTGGGTCAAGACAGTCAGAAGACTTCACTCAGGCTACCATCTTCATGAACATCAGAGATTCCCACCTTTGCAATCCATGCTTTTCAAAAACACTCAGTTGCTTTATCCCAAAGAAGCAGGCCTAAGACTTCTCAAGTCAAGGTAGCAAGTGAGGATGGGGAAATAGACATCTTCATCCAGGAATGGAAGGAATTGCCTATATCTGAGGCTGGCCCGGATACAACAGGACACACACAGGGAGTGGACATTCTGTTCTTGTTCAGGTAAGTCTATGGCTGGGCCAAGAGTCAACCCTGTGTTGCTTAACTTCGGGGTTCAAAATATAAAACATCAAGCCACCCTCCTGCCAAAAGAAAGTGGAAAAAAGCCCCAACTAGATCTAAGAATCAAAAGATCATTTCTCATTCTTAGAAATTTCTTATTGTGAAGCTTTTCTTTCTTATCTAATTAAAATAAGGAGGTTGTTCTGAA